CTTGGAAGAATTGACAGGTACCCTGAGTTGAGTATCCATGTAATTATGCTTCCGTGAGCAATGTGGATTGTATTATACAAGGAAGGTTGTTCCTTGCCCCAAACTATTCTGGGCTTAAATCTTTGTAAACAGCCTGTTACTAGACTCCTTGAAGTCTGATTCAGGTTGAGGAAGTCAATCTGTACCGGGTTTTCATTTTTGTCTCTTCATGGGAGTTTCCTTCCCTGTGTGCCACCTGCAGGGGCCCCTTCCTTTCTTTCAGTGTGTGTGTGTGTGTGTGTGAGTGTGTGTGTGAGTGTGTATGTTTGTGAGTGTGTGTGTGAGTGTGTGTATGTGTGTGAGTGTGTGTATGTGTGAGTGTGTATGTTTGTGAGTGTGTATGTGTGTGAGTGTGTGTATGTGTGTGAGTATTGTGTGAGTGTGTGTGAGTGTGTATGTGTGTGTGAGTGTGTATGTGTGTGTGTGTGTAGACAGGGCTTCTCTTATAGCTTTCTTTGGATGCTGACCCAAATCCTAAGCCTGCTTGCTTTGATTCCCTCAGCAGTCTGTCTCCTGAAGATTCACCACTGTCATGCTTGCAGACTTCCATGGCTGAGCTTGACTGCCTCCCTGGTCTCTGAAAGCAGCCCCTTTAACTCTAAGTCTCTTCACAAAGCTCCCAACTAGGTGTCAAAAAGCTGAGGTGTACTTATCACCTGGTCCAGGACTTCCAGAAAAACAACCAGGCAATTGTGCCTACCTTCCCTGTGGTTGCTAAGGCATACAACCAAACTCCATCCCTCCATCCCTCCTCTCTTTGGAGGTTGTTGTGGAACTCACTCTGTAGACCAGGCTGACCTCAAACTCACAGAGATCCCTCCGAGTGCTGGGATTACAGGTGTGCACCACCACTGCGCCGGTGTGCCTTTGAACTTAAAGAGGCCTTCTTCATTATCCCTCTATACCATTTTCCCAAGCCTCTTTTGCCTTCACATGGGAAGACACAGACACTCTGCCTGCCCAGCAACTCACCTGGATGGCTTTGCTGCAGGGATTCTGAGACAGCCCCCACTACTTTGTCCAGGTCTTACAACAGGACCCCACCTAGCCTTGTCCCCTCATCTCCTCCAGTGTGCAGGTGACCTCCTCTTATGCAGCTCTTCTCCACAGACCTATCTCCAACACTCCATGACCCTTCTTAAGCTGTCTCTTGTGGGTATATGATTTCCAGGGACAAGGCCCAGAACTGCCAGCTGTCAGTCATTTATGTGGGCCTGTCAGTCTCATGAGGGAGAACTCCTTACCTTCCCCACCCACAAACCAATGTGAGCAGCTTGCATTACCAGACTTTTCATTTTTCTGCATATGGATCCTCAACATTTCCCTTGCTGCTCAGCCTGTCTCTCATGCCACTAAAGGGCCCCTAGAGGAGACACCTTCCCCCTTAATCCCTTCTTTCCCCATCAACACAAACAGTCTACTCTCAATTCTTCACTAGAGTTTCTGGACCATACAAGCACTTCTATCTCTTCACATGCACAGCAAGAACGAGCCCTCAAAATACTTTGCCAAAAGTTGGGCGGGGCACATGTCACCCCATGGCCTATTTCTCTAAAGAGCTAGACATAGTCACTCTAGGCTGGCCACTTTGTCCCTAAACCCTGGCCAGGGGCACTGCTCATTCCTGAGACAAACAAAATCTCACTCCACAGTCCCCTGCACATCCTCACTACACACTCACTCAAGGGCCTCATCAGCCCTGAGATTTCCTAACCCTCCCTCTGTCCAGAGTACAGCCTTTGTTTCCCTTCTTCTTCTTTCACGTGTGTTTCCTTTTACCTCTTCCCAGATGTTTCCCCTTACATCTTTCCTTATTCTTCCTCCTTGTTTTTTTTTCTTTCTTTTTTTTTCTTTTTTTTTTTTTTTTTGGTTTTTACGAGACAGGGTTTCTCTGTATTGTTTTGGAAGCTTTTGGTCCAGCCCGGCCTCGAACTCACAGAGATCCGCCTGCCTGTCTCCCGAGTGCTGGGATTAAAGGCATGCGCCACCACCGCCCGGCCCTCCTATTTTTTTAATCTTACTTCTGGTTATATTTTCTAAGCCAAAATTTCTTTCTTTTTTCTTTTTTCCCTTGTATGGTGCTCTGCCCGTATGTGGGCCAGAAGAGGGCAGCAGATCTCATTAAGGATGGTTGTGAGCCACCATGTAGTTACTGGGAATTGAACTCAGGACCTCAGGAAAAGCAACCCCTGCTCCATAGCCTTCCCTCCATCCCCCTAAAACAAAAATTTCTATGAAAGAAACAATTATCTCATAACCAAAAGTTACATATTTTCCAAAAGAAATGAAAATCTTTACATAAGAAATCCCATTAAAGTCTGGCGTTTCTGGTCCATGCCTGGTCTACAGAGTGAGTTCCAGGACAGGCTCCAAAGTAACACACAGAAACCCTGCCTCAAAAAAAAAAAAAAATCACATTGAGATCACAAGTTACACATTTTCTTAGAAGCCCACAAGTAGTTAAACATTTTGCTTCATGTTAATTTTCCTATCTGAACATCTACACCCAAAACCAATGATTCTTTTTTAGAAGTGGAATGAAAATGTAATTTTATTAGTAGTTTCAAAAACACTTAAAACTACCTTACTGAGAGCCCACTTTATGTAGGTGGGCTTCCGAGCTCTTAGCTATCAAAGTACACCATCCCTGCATGGTACTTTACGATTTATAACTGCTTTTCTATTAATTTACCTAAGTTGTCTACTGCTAACAACTAAGAAAGCATACTCAACCCCCCCCCAAAAAAAAACCCAAAGAAACAAGGAGCTGCTCTCCCTTAAGACAGCACTCACAGGAAGATACTCTAGAGGCTGAAGCTTGGGCTTGTGGCCTCAGCTACACAATTCCTTGCTTCTTTGCTCCTAAAATCCATGGCACTGTAACCTCTATCAGGCCACAGAGAGACAGTCAGGGTAAGGAGATGTAAATGCCAGGAACTGTAGAACAGGTTCTTGCTCTGCTAATCCACTAAGGGGCCAACGGGGAGGGTGGCAGCCCTGAATCAACTATATTTTATTCCAAGGCAATGAAAGAAACGTGGTCCACACAGCTCAACAACTGCAGATTATTTTTGGTTTGCTGATCTTTCTATTGGCACACACCTTGAGAAATCTCATCCTCTCACTTCGTATAGTACTTGCACTCTTCTTTGAGTAAGAAGAAGTTATCACCTGCAGTAAATGCCCCCGGAATGTCGGGAACAGATTCTACAGTCAGACCGTGCAACTGTGTTGGGGCTGGGATATTCTGTCCTCCCATTTTGTTGTTGAAATCACCCAAGTCCTGCAAGGGCTGGCCCACACGCCACTCTTCCTGAGCTGATGAACTTTCTAAGGCCCAGAGAACTGAACTGTGAAGATGACAAAAAAGACCCCAATGTATGTGACAAAACCTCATTAACAGTGAGGGGGCTGCCGTGGTAAACTCCACCCCTGCCCCGGGCATCCACAGCCCAAGCCGCTCCCTCGGGTTTCTTGGGTTTCTCCACACCCGGGAAGCTGAGGGTTGCAAACGTGGAGGGTGCGAGCATCAGTGACGCCATGACGTCACCACAGAGAACAGCGTCCTGAGGCGGGACTAACGTGTGACTGATGTCCACTCGCACCACTCGCCCTTCTCATGTGTCCTCAAGACAACCAATAAAAGAGACGCGAAGACGGAAGCGTTCCTCGCCCGCCACAGGAAGCGCCGCCTCCTGCACTGGACACTTAGCGGCTGCCGTGCTAAGTGTGGCTCCTCCTTCTGGGGCCGTCGGCTGTCTTTTGTGTCCAGAGCCTCAGTGAACTCCTTCACGAAGGTTCCTTCCCTCTGACTGTCGACTTCCGCTTCCCCTGCTCGCCCCTCGTCGGGCCACACCTAAGATTGCAGCTGTGGCAGTGGGCGGAGCTGGGCTTCCCGGCGTGGTGACGTCAGCGCGCGGCGTCGCGGCCTGTGGAGGGTGGAGTGAAAGGGGAGTCTGGCTGAGGAAGCTTCCGGTGGAGGCGGGAGTCCGAGGAATCGCTGAAGAGCGGTGTGGCGGGTGAGGCCGCTTCCTGGGCCGGGCGAGGGGCTGCAGGACGGCCTCTGAGCCCCAGGAGGCGACGTCGGCCGCGCCCTGTCGGCGAGCGCCCCAAGGCAGCGCCAGGTGGCTGGTGGTGGCCTCAGCTGGCCCTGGGGACCCCTGTGGCGCGGACCTGAGTCCCCTGTGTGAGGAGGCGGTGGGGGAGCCTCTCCAGGCTTTAGCGTTGCTGTTAGCTGAAGTAAACTCCATGAGCTCCCTTGCTGAGTGTAGCTCCTCTGACACGGGCACTGGAGAACCCCACAAGCCCACAGTTAGTGGAAGCCAGGCCCCTCCCCTCACACAACTTCCCCATGGCTGAACTAATCGTTCTTACCCGGGCTCTCACACTCGCTTCCAGTCTGATAGTCAGTGCATTCACACTGGTTCAAAATTCATCCACAACATAATACGTCCAAAACCGTGCTCTGGAGGCCCTACAGACTGCGCTGTCGTATCCTAACTCTGCTCTAACAGCAGAGCCGATCCAGACCCAGTGTTGTTCACTCCAGACTCTCCTGCCCCACAGCCGTCCACACACCCAAGGCGCTTGCAGAGCCTCAGCATCTGGATATGCAATGGAAGTCATTTCTGCCCCTATAAAGGCTGCAGTCAGTTTCCTCCAGTGGGGATTTTCTCTCATCCGCCCTCCTGGTGTGGACGTTTGCTCATCTACCCACATGGCGTGGGACGTATGGCCCATCCTTCCACGTGAGTGAGACTGAGATGACCCCTCCCCATGTCTCCACCATAGAACACGGTCCTGCAGGAAGGTCAGGCTTGTGTCCCTACTGCTGCCTTTTCTGGCTCCTTCCATCTGCCCTTAATAGGTCAACAACACCTTCCCCACAAACGCCACCCCCTCTGATGGCCGATATCTGTTGGGTCGGGGGAGGCACAAATAATGAGAAGAACACCAAGGTCTATAAATCCAGAAGCAATCTTTATTAAAAAAAAAAGTCACCACAGGGCACAAAGAGCTTCCCAGTTAACTTGGATCGCACCGGACATTGGTCTTCTGAAACTGTGGCAACAGGCGCTGGTTTCAGGCCTCTTCTTACAGTAAAATCCAGCACCAGGTGGGGGGTCAAGAGCTTTACAACCTTGAGGTCAGGCTTAACTCACATTCCATTTTAAGTTTTACAACTTTTGATTGTAGGATGTTAGGATGTTTGTGAAAGCCTGTGGCCGACACAGTGTTTCCGTGAAAGAATACAAGGCTGAGAAAAGAGTCACACAGAGGACAGGTATAAATTCAGGGACTTCAACTAGGGGGTCCATGGAGGCAATACATAGAAGCTAGCCTGTGTCCACAGTACCTGCCTAGCTGGGAAGCTGCGAGGCGGGAGACAATTGTTAAAAGTTTCCCTGTGTGCACAGCGGCTGCCAGGGTGTCTGCTCTAAAGGCAGAAAGTGGTTGTTAAACGTTAACAGCGGCTGCCAGGTTAAATACATGCATAATACATACATACATACGTATTCCTCAATATGTTTGGGCTTCCAGTTTTATATTTCTTTACTCCTGGACCCTTCAATATCCTGATTATCCTATGCTTCCTATAATCAGGCTCTGGTCTTTATCTCTGTAGCTGTTCAACCCACCACCTCCACTCACAGGCTATTTCTAAAACAGCTATCCAAGTCAAACAAAATATAATGTAATACAAACCAACTAGTCAACAGATTAGCACTGGTTAGCCAAACACCTGACTCAGATAATCAGAGAGGCTGACTCTGTAGGACCAGAAACAAACCACATATATTTGGTTCCCAAGGCAAGGGCATCAAGTGAAACTTGCTTTGCATCCCAGGATTGTACCTATATTTGCTGCCCTGGAATGAAAAGTGTCACAGTCTTCTTCACTCCAGAGTTAGGTGTTCTCCTGGCACAGGAAGCATATTAACATCTTGTTCATAGTATCAGGAAAAACAGAAGCCTCATTCTACTCCCATACTGCTGGAGAAGGCTCTAGAGGGGCAACCACCAGCTGTGCAACAGCAATAGGGCTCCAACAGGTACAGCACAGCCAATCAGATTTGCGAAGTATCTACATCCCAACAAGTGTCGCTCCAGACACAGCAATCCAAATCATATTCAAACTGAATTTAGAAAGCCCACATTTAATGGATACAACACTCCCTGACGGCCTTCCAATTCCCCCAGAGAGGAAATGGGAGACTGGAAAAATCAGGAGTCTGTTTTTTGGGGGACAGTTTAAAAACCTTGTGGGAGTGGTCTTGAGCATCTCTGGGATAGGGGTCATCGTTTGGTGGGCTTCCTGAGATGCAGCAGGGTATGGAGAGTGATGGGGGAGGGGCTAGTGTGAAACTTCCACCGTAACACTCCAGACTCTGGGTATATGGACGCCAGGGGCAGGGGTGAAGCTTCCACCATGACAATATTCAGGAAGACCTGACCCTGGTAAAAAAAAAAAAAAGCATAGCCATGCAACCAACTCAGATTCACTGGCTGTGGCAATCTTCCAAACCACAGAGGGCTGGACTTAATGACTGCCGAGAGAGGGGGCACCTGTGCGTATCTAGGAGCAGAATGGTGCTGTGATGTGAATGAACCTGGCCTAGTATGGGGGGAAGCTAGACAATTACTACAAAGAATCAACACAGAGAGAGGGCAGACAATACTTTCTGGAAAGCCCCTCGCTGGTTGGGGATGTTGGATCTTGCCCTTGGCAGGCCCAGTGGTTATGATTATGTTAACTCTATTGTTTGGCCCCTGGTTTTTTTTTTTTTTTTTTTTTTTTTTGTGCTATCTTACCAAGTTCCTCCAACAAAGACTGCATGGTTTCCTGAACTAGAGCATCTCTGGATTCTTCATGCCCCCAGAGAAGCAGCTTTTATTCTAACCGGGAAGCATCCTGAACATTCCCACTCCACCTTTGGGACCCACCAGCAAATGAGGACTCATCTACACTAATTTCTGTTTTACCCTACCAGAGTTGGGATATTTTGAGTAAGAGCCTCAGGTTAGAAGGAATTGAGTCAGGATGCTCTGAGCTGTAGCCCCAGGCCAGAAGGAATGGCTCAGCCCCAGAGTGAGTGTTCCTTTCCACCTGCAGGAGCAATATGCCTGGGGAGGGAACAGAACTCACCAGCTTCCAATCAAACTGTAAACACACACACACACACACACACACACACACCCAGCACCTTTAAGTGTGCTCAACCTTCACGCCATGGAGTGCTTGGGCCCCTCTCTATTCCAATGAAGCGCTCTCAGCCTGCTGTTATCTGGGCTGCCTCTTCTCTGCTGCACTTTCCTACAGGACAATGTGCTCTCCTATCCTGTTCCCAGACAGTCACTGCCCATTGTGTGCAGACACACAACTCTCTTCACAAAGGAGACAAGAGTTTACTCTGGAGACACAATGAGTGACCATGGCCCAGGAAGACCCATTTAGATCACCCTAAATTCCCTGTTCCACGGTGGTAATGGAATCTTTATAGTCACAGACCAAAGGAAGCCACACGTGAAGACACTTTTCAAGCACATCGATGGAAACACCAGAGGCAGGCAGTTGCAGCAAAGTGGGTGGACCTTTGTCACAGGGGTCAGATGGTACCTGAAGATGCTCTTAGCTTCTGGGTTTGTGGGAGCTCTCTGTCTGTTAACACACTGCAAGGAAAGCTAGTCTTCTAGTTACCTGATGGTCACAAAGGTGAGAGGTGAGGTTAGCGATAAACAGGTATTGAGAGGGTGGACATGGAGGGCTGGGAGGAGGCTCAACTCCAGGAGCTCTGCTGCTCTCCTTGACCCCATGAGCCCAGGGCATGCACAGTGCACACACATACATTCAGAAGAATACAATATGCATACGGTAAATTCATTTTTTTAAAAAGAGGGCTAAAGATGGCTCCAAATTCACAGTTTTCCAAATCCTCTATGGTCACTGCTATTTAACCTTATAGCAGGGTCAGTGAAAGTTGCTGCTTCTTTCTAGAAATTTCGTTTTCACAGGGCTTGAAAAGGGCTGGCAATTACATTCCATTTTTTTTTGAGGTTGTTTTGTTTTTAGGGTGATTTCTGCAGGACAGTCAAACACCCCCTGTCATCCCATCTTGGCTGCAGAGAGAAATGTGTGAAGTTGTTGTAATAAAAACTACTTTGCACTATCAAAATCTAAAACAGTCCTCAGTTCTGTTTATTTTTTTGCGGTACACGTTTCATTCATGTCACACTTTCTTTCCAAATTTGTAATGCCAGTTTTCCAAGAAGCAGATTCTATTCGCCAAAAGTTCAGGGTCATTGGTCAGGCAGCAGCAAATCACTGGCAAGCTGGGCAGAGCTTCCAAATCAGCTGAGTTAAAGAACCGCCCACTACCTAAAGTGTTCTGCTTTCAAACGTCCATTAATTCATTCGTTGTTTGGGCAAGAAGACAGCTGGTGTAAAGCCTTCATGAGAATGTTACCTGCAGAGTCTACCCTCCCAGACTGCGTGAAAGGAAATCGTACGTATTTTACGAATCGTTAACTAAGTAAAGGGAGAGAGGGGAGTTTCATCCGGGAGCGGACTCTTCCCCTGTTAGCCTGCCACAGGGGTCTCTAGGTCGGTGAAAGCTGGGGGTGGGGTGGGGAGCTCTGTGCTGGGTAAGAACGCACCGGTGCAATTCTGTATCATTCTATTTCGACGTTTATTATTTAAACATGATTGGAGAAGAGCAACCAAGAGGGGACGTGTTAAGCACGCTTCTCAGGAGCCCGGAATTTGTGCTGTGCTAGCTCTCCCGCCAGAGTGAGGCAATGAGGACACAGCCAATGACACTGGGATTTACTCTCATCTCACTCGATGTAATTAAAGGGCCATAGCCATGCGTTGAAGGTGTTAGGGTTGAACAAACTGCCCATCAGATTGCATTTGACTCAGTCTTACAGACACTTGTAGCCACCGGGGCCTGCCTTCCTTACTTGATTCTGATAACCCTGCTGCTGCAGGGAGAGATAAACAGCCTTTCTGAGTTTGTAAAACAAAGCAGGTGTCTGGATTCCTGGAGGGTCGCTGGAGGACCTTGGACATGCTCAGGCACGAAGCTGCCATGCAGTGCCCACCTACAGCGCCCCTTCTGCACCGCTGAAATCTTCCTTTCTTGACTTCTACTGCCCCATCCTGCCCCAGCCGCGGGACTTTTCAGCCATACTTCCCGCCTGTCAGAATTCCTTTCCCTTACTTAGGGCACCAGAATACTCCTTGAATGATCCTATGGCATCAGGGACCAATCTCGGTCCTATTGATGTATCCCAGGTTTTTCAGGAGGGTGCGATTGATCTCGCCAGCAAACTCATCTGCAGTTTTACTTTATAGTCAATGAGTGGAAAAAGACCCTGGAGATTTCTATTTTAAGACTGTATCCTTTCATTTTGAAAACAGTTTAATGTTTCATTCCTTTTAAATCTCTTTCCGTTTAATGTTTAAAATTTTATCTTCTGTGTATGTGCGTTTTGTCTACATGTCTGTGCAGTACATGCATGCCCGGTGCCCACTGAGGCCAAAGAAGGAGTTGAATCCCCTGGTACTGCACTTAGACAATTGCAGCTACTGAGTGGGTGCTGGACATGAACCCCGTCTTGTCTCTGCAAAGGCAGCTACAATGAACCTGTCTCTCCTCCCTCTTTAATGTTTTTGCTTAGGAATAGAATATTTCTTGAAAAACAGAGCTCACGATTCTTGTGATCTCGAGGGCAATCTCAGGAGATCAGGCCAGGGTCCTCCAGGTGGACGGTCCCTGCTGTGGAGATGGGGACACTGACCTGGGAGGTGGGGACAAACTGAAGAGGAGGCCATCTCACCAGGCCTCCAGTCACTGCCTGGGTCCTGTCCCCTCCACACCAACCCAGGACCCTTTACACAGCCTGAAGAACCTGCTCTGTGGGACAGAGAGCAGCTGTTGGTCTCTGCTGTCCCTCAGGTGCCACCAGGTCACATATTCCTCCTGTTAGCCAGAGCTCAGCTGTGCTGGGAAAAGTTACCAAAGTGAAGATTTCCTTCCTTCCTTCAGGCTTCTCTGTGGGCTGGAAAGGGCAGCCAGGTTCAGCAGCTGTGAAAGTCCTCAAAGCTACTGTCCCAGGTGAAATTTGCCACACCTGCTGACTGTGGACCCAGCTCTCTCAAACTCTGTGCAATCTCTCTAACACTTTCACCTCCTCATCTGCTGTCTGCTCACCTGGCTCCTGGAACTCATCTAAGCCTCTCTAACAGTTTCAAGTCATCTGACTAATCCCAAAAGAAAAGCTCATGAATAGCACTACTGTTTCTCAGGTAAGCCAAGTACTTCTGTTGTGCCAGGTTTGTGGAATTCCAGAGACTAAACCAGGAGTCGACACTCTAATTTGAAAGCAAAAGCAAAAGGTTTCACTCATTGTTTAAGCTGTCCAGCTGGATCTCTTTCCATGGGGAGGAAATGAGATGCCAACCAGCCTAAAAGAGAAGCTTTTAAAGGGGCAGATCACCAGGTTGAAGGCCACAAATTTCAGTTTCCATGGATACTTAAAGTCATACCAAGTACAGAGTAAAGCAGAAACTATATATTTTAAGCAAGATCCATTTGAGTGAAATAAGACAGGGCATGGGCTTGCAGGGTTACAGGAGTCACAGGGTCTGTCAGCTATCCCCTGGGCCTGGAATCTTTACAATTGGCAGGGGATTTTTATGTACAGCAATTAGCAAAGAAATGTTAACAGAGGTGGTGGACAGTTACCTCCCCTTCTCTGAGAGCAGGGGCTCAGTCATGGTACTCCTGATTTAAGGAGTTTATTTTTTCTTTACCATTAGAAGTTCCCTTTCTCTGTATAGATTTAGGGGCCAAGTTTTTAAAGTTTTATTAATTTTAATTTTTGGTCCCTCATTTCTGAGAGATTAGGGGTTAGACAAATACCATGAAGACTGTAACAGATCCCATGACTAAGCAGTAAAGATGGTGAACTTCCAAGATGGCAGCTTCTTCATCACATGACTTCCAGGTCTGACAAAATATGGCTGCTTAAAACAAAGTCTGTGGAAGCTTTTTCTCCTGCCAGTGGAGGCCGCTACTGCTAAACCAACCTGAATAGCTCAAGGCCAGAGGCAGATGTGGTTTTTGACTGGCACATTAAAATTAACACATGTGTTCATTGCTTCATTATTGTGAATATCTCAGAAACCCCTGAACTATTTTTAGAAACACAGTAGTTACTGCGATCTGTACTCATCCTGCTGTGCCCTTTAACACCAGATCTGACACAGTATATAATAATTATTGTCTACTTCCTTCTTCCTCCTCCTAGAAATATTTTGCTTGACTGTGTCTTGTGACACTGTTCACATTAGCTAGCACATGGAACACCGCTGCATCTATCAGTGAATAAACGGGGAAAACTGTGATACATATTCTTGTTGGGGAGCTGCAGCTGGGGGGGTGGTGGATGTGTTTTCCATACTGCATTGGCACTCTTCCCATTCCTGACCCCGCCCCCTAAGAAAGCCCGCCAAGCAGCAGCCCCTCCCTTCAGAAAGCTCTCCAAGAATCAGTTCCTCCCTGGGGCTGCTCAAGACCAGGCCTACAGGCCACTTAAGACCTGGTTGCCACACACTCATGCTCCCTCCCCTGCCTTCCCTAGAGCCACCTGGGGGGTCCTTTGGTATACTCAGAATAAACCTGGATTTATTAATACAGTTTGACTGCCTTATTGCATTGGTGGAGGATATCCAATAATTCAAACTCATCAACTCCCAAATATAATGGATTACTATGCACCGATAAGAAAAGATGGGATGACTGTCTTTGGTGACAACATGGGTGGACCTGGGTGACATGTTCAGAGAAGTTACTTAGGCATTGAAAGCCTAACACTGCTCGTCAGTCAGAGAACTAGTTAAAATCAGACACGTTGCAGAACTAGAAATCACAAGGAAGCCTATACATTCAAAATATGAAGGGTTTAGATACCTCCCAAGATTCACTATATATAGGGGATGTGAGGATCAATGAGGAAGTCCCAGGGAAACCAGATTGCTCACAGTCTGAGAAGCACTGGATCTGTAATTGAACATGAAAGAGTAAAGAATGGAGGTCCAGAGTTTTGTGTGGACCCCAAACCCAAAGGCCACAGTTTAGGGCTTAAAGCCTTGCAGTCCTGCATAGCCTTCTCTGTTGTTAATGGGACAGAGGGGTGTGACAACCAGCAAAAGGCAAAGGTTTAAGTTAAGTGGAAACTTTGTAAAAGGAACAATTGGCATTCAGTAAAATTAATTCATTTGGTATAAATTTTCATGATTTTGAAAACATCTAATCATGAATTCTTCATCAAGATATGTAGAGACTCAACCATTAAGAACATGTATTGCTCTGAAGAGGACTGGGTTTGATTCCCAACACCCATATGGTGGCTCACATTCCCACCCTTCCAATTCCAGGGATCCAACACACTTTTCAGAACCTTTCCTAGCAGTAGGCCTGCATATAGTACACATATATACATAAATGCAGACAAAACACTCATACACAAAAATAAATCTAAAACAATAGCTTATGAAGGATATGTAGACTCCCCACCTATCCGCAGCTTCCCCATTCCAGGTTGCAGACACTATGTACCTCTGTCCCCAGCTGTTACACACTTACTTTTCCAGAGTGCCATAAAATGAATTCCTGAAGCAGAGACTTCACATTTGGCTTCTTTCAATTGTCACAGCCTTGCTTTCTGTTCTTCAGGAAACACAGTGTCTATTAATAGCAGGTCAGATCCTCTGTTGACTAGATCCTAGGAGACTGTATCCACAGCACTACTGACACAGGAACACTGTCTGAATTCAGAAGAATGCAAGCACCTCAGATTAAATCTTACACAAGAAGAGAAGCTGGCAGGAAACTCGTGGAGAAGTGAGAGGAGGAAGTGAGTCGTGGCAGTTTTTTTTTTTTCCAAAATACACCGGAAGGAAGGAGACAGTTTTCTGTGGCTCACTGCCTTTAAGGTTGTTTAAGCTTGCTGATGAGTTTAGAGACTGTGGCCTGGTAAATGGCATAAGAAATAGGGAATTGCAGGTGTGGTCCAACTTGTTTCTTTGAGAGAGTTTGCTTACCTTGTCATCAGCTTGGGGATATTTGAATGCTTGCAAATGTTCCATTTTTCACAAATATGCACATAAATGCTTCTGTTTTTGTCTTGAAACTTAAATGCGGGCTTTCCTTTCCAGCATGGGCATATGTGGGCAGGATGGGGCATCACCACATCTTACACTTCCTGTGCAGATAGCCACACAGCTTCATAGCGTCTGCACAAGTTTGCCTTTCTGAAAAAAGGGTTAGAGTCACATCAACGTCTACTTCATCAGCCTCCTGTTATATAGACACTGATTCTTGGATCTAAGACAACTTTTGCCTAAGACAGATTAAAAAACACCCCCCACACACATTTAAAAGAATTAAAGGACTTTACAATATTAAGCTTCCTGTTTGGGTCTACAGTCTGTCTTGATTCTTGTCTTTAGCAGACAGACACCAGGTTACTTCAGTAGCACATACATACTGGAGCGATGCCAGCCTTTCCCTGTCTAAAACCTACATCTCTGTGAAATATCTGTTGACCATGTGTGTTTGATGTAATTTCTGAAGTCTTCTTTTTTGTTTTTTCCTGTTGCATTTTCTAGTGTCTCCTCTTTTGCTAGCATCAGGCTGTCTTTATTCCTGTTCTCATGAGTCATGGGATTAGGCAGTATGATCAGTGAATTCCACCTGTTCTTTTTCAGGATCGTTTCTTGATTATTCTTATTTCTTTTTAGTTGTCATAAGACTTTTCATATAATTTGGTGTTACATCTTTTCTTTTTGAAGGCATCCACTCCCCATGAAGTAAAACTGTTGCATATATAAATTAACTCAAGAATTGTTGACATATGAGAAATATTGAGTGTTCCAGTTCCTTATGTGTTTAGAAGTGTCTGCCCACTAAGTTCATGAAAGGGCATCTGTTGTTTTTTATCTAAGTTGTTCTATTAACAATAAAGACTCAGGAGCCAGATATTGGGGTGAAACCTGATAGATCAAAGAGGCGGTGGAGGAAGGACCCCCTGACCTTCCCTTTTTCAGTGGCTACGCAGCATGCATGTCTCTCTCCACATGTCCCAGACAAAAGACCATGAAATCTCTAAGTCCCTCACTTCACTTCCTGTGTGTCTCTGTATCTGTCTTCTTGGGTCCTTTGTACTCTCTATGGCTAATTCTTGTCAATTAGTTTCTGGCTCTGCCCCTAATCCAAGGTAAATTTTGTTAACACAGTCTTAGAGTTTCACTCTGCCATCAAGTCTCCCACAAAAGGTGTGAGATTTCCTGAAACTGGAATTATAGATGGTTGTAAGATCCTCTGTGGGTGCTGGAATCAAACCCAGGTCCTCTTCAAGAGTAGCAGATGTGCTCTTAACCACTGAGCCAACTCTCCAGCCTTGCCCTGATTTCTTCCTAGTTTTACATGTAGTTTTCCTTATGCTGATTATGAACTTTTTCATTTAGATTTGTAGTTTATGTTTTTGACATTTCTGTAAGTGGTGCTGTATTTGGAGGGTAATAGTGCCAGCAGTGGGAGATGGGTCCCTTCTAACTGGAGTTGGCAAGATTGTAAGCTATCCTGCGGGAACTGAACCTGCTATTACCTGCTGAGCCATTCTCCAGTCATGTGACCCTATTTCTTTGCTCTGGCTGGCACTCCTGTGAAAGTCACCCTGGAGTAGTGAGCAGACATCCTGCTCCTGCTCCCTATGGCTGGGAAAGCATTCATTACTGCACTCTTGGGAATGAAGAAGACTGCAGCAGGATTTTCTGTTTGTTTTTCAGTGGATAATTTTGGTAGGGGTGGGACAGTCCCTTTATGCCTAATTTTCAGTTTTGCTGTGTATAGATGCTTCTATTTTCCTCTGTTCTTAGTTTGTTAATAGGTCTAGTTGCTCTGATTTTCCCCCTAATGTTTCTGTTACCCCTTCTAATTTTAATGGAGAGCAATGCAGCTGGCTGCTGTTGCTGCTTCTCACTGTGGTCCTCACTCCTTTATTTCTTGCTCTTTCCTCATGCTCTTTCATGATTCACCCTCACTCCTTTTGTTTTTTCTTCCTAAGATTTATTTATTTATTATGTACAGTGTTCTGTCTGCATGTATGCGGCAGGCCAGAAGAGGGCACCAGTTCTCATCACAGATGGTTGTGAGACAACTTGTGAATGCTGGAATTGAACCAGGGCCTCTGGAAGAGCAGCCACTGTTCTTAACTGCTGAGCCACTCCTTTTATTTCTTGCTCTTTCATGATTCACTCTAGTTCAGCAACCAGAAGGCCCCTGGCTGGATTTCTGTTTCCAGCATCTCTAGTCTTCTTTCCACCAGGGACATCCTTTATGGACCAGGGCCTTCATTGAAAGGGATTTTAGTGCCCTTTCAGGTACCTGTAGGCAATTGTAAGGTGGGTTTTTGTGCTAAGTTTATTTTAGCTTGTTTTAAGAAATTCTCGCAGCTCTTCTCCCCGTCAAAAGAAATAGAAGAGGAAGTATATACAAGGGTCAAATTTGGACAAGCCTGTCCTGTCACACACAATTGTCTGTCAACTTCTCTGACCATGCACAGTGGAACAACACAGGAGAAAAGTCTGTCCCTCATTTCAATAATTGATTCAGAAAAACCACATGTTCATTTTATGTTTTAATGTATTATAGTATTATAGTACATAACATTGTGTCATTTATACCTGTTTATTCTGTTTTATTATGTTGGAGTGTATTATATTAATATATTATCTTCAGTGTTTATTTCTATGTTTATCTTTTGTTTTATTAGTCTATATTGTTAATATATTGTTATACTCTATTTATGTTATATTTTCCTTGATGTAAATAGTTTATATGTATATATGTATGAATGTATGTGTGTGTGTATAAATATATGTTTATGTGGTTTGTAATATGATTCTTTATAGAAGGCATAATTTTTGAGTGTCCAGAGTTATAGAGTCAATTAGTTGAGTTATCAGTTCAAAAAAAAGAAATTCTCTAAGTTGACATTGCCATATTCATATTTTACAGGTAAAAGTCTTCAAGGACAATCTCTCAGTGTCGTCTCCACTGAGTCTCCTGCTAAGCATTACTGCTGCTATGCAGTGATCACGGTCCTCACTGTAGCTGTGATTGTACTTTCTGTTGCTTTGTCATTGCCAGGTAAGTGTCTCATTCTCCAAATTCTGCAGCATTCTGTCCACATTCACACTGGTAGTAACTCCTTATTGATCACTGTGAGCCAGGCACTGTGGGAAGGGCTCTAGAGAAAACACACCAGAATCTCCTGTTGTCTGGGACTGAGGGTCTAGCAGGAAGATGCAGAGAAGGGACAGCACAGGCTGTGGTGAGCACAGGAGGCCCGGCTCAGCATCCCTGGGAAGATGACATTCAGCAAGCTCTAGACACTTATTCTACCTGGAGGAACTGTTCAACACAGAGAACAAGGACAAAAAACAAAAACAAAACAAAACAAAAAAAACCAAAAAACAAAAAACAAAAAACAAAAAAACCCAAAGGAGGAGCCTCAGGGAGGCTACTGTAGCTAAAGGGAAGTGAGGGCAGTGGAGAGTAGCAGTGTTAGTGAAGACACCAATGCCCCACTGCCCTATGATTCATTGGCAGAAGACATCTATTATCATGTATAGAGCTGATATCAAATATGTCCTTTAATCCTAGACACTTTCCTAAAACTGCACATATTCACTCACCTTCAGGGTGGGCTGAGGCTTACTCAGGCCTAGAACTTTTGTTACACAAACTAGGAGCCATTCCCCAAGGAGGCCAGGCACAAGGAGGTAACTAGCTGGCATCTGAAAGACAATAGGAGTTCTGAGCTCCTAGAATTCTTGGATTGAGCTAAGGCATATTTCTGAGAAATTGCATTTGGGCCCCTACAGTTAATATCTTCAACTATGAACAGAAAATATTAAATAGAATGTTCCAGAAATATATTATTCCTGAGCTTTTAGTTTTAGACTATTCTGAATAGCGTGATAAAATCTTTTACAGCTTTCCTGCCATAGCTGGAGTCATAATTCATAATATCTTTTTATAAAGTCAACATTAACCACATTGATGAATAATACACAAGTCTAAACATGTACAAACATTTGCCAAGAAGACTTAGTCAGTGTAGCCTAAATTCTATGTAGCTCTGAAAAGAGACAGTTGAAAAGAAGTAACAGTCACCCTCAGTGATCATTGCATTTGTTTCTTTTGTTAAAGCCTCATGGTACTGGGTATAAGAACTGGGAACAGCTATGACCAATTTCCCTCCACTAAAAATAAGTGTGTGTGTGTCATTTCTAGTATATAATACTTCCTATCAAACCATGTATTTCTAGGCTCAGTAGCCCTTCAAAAGAGCCATGCATGCCAGGCGTTAGTGGCACACACATTTAAGCCTTTAATCCTAGCACTCGGGAGGCAGAGGCAGGCGTATCTCTGTGAGTTCGAGACCAGCCTGGTCTACAAGAGCTAGTTCCAGGACAGCCTCCAAAGCCACAGAGAAACCCTGTGTCGAAAAACCAAAAAAAAGAGCCATGCATTTTTTCTTATTTGTTAAAGGAAAAATAAAGGCAATTATGAAAGTGGTTCTCAGAACCCTTGTTGCCTTAAGAGCTATACACACACACACACACACACACACACACACACACACACACACACACACACAATCACTTTATCATGATAGACTCACAAATGAACACATCACACAGCCACTCCAATGCTTGCCAAGTCCTAAACCCTATGTATCTGGCTGAACTTCCACAGTTAGAGCAGACTTTCTGAAGCCATGGAACTTGGGTTATGGTTTTAGACTTTCACCGTATTTAAGTTTTTATACACTTATCAGCCACAAATTAGAAAATACACCACAGAGTTGAAACTAGAAAAACAATGTTCTTTATAGCCCTGTTCATGGCTTACAGGCTCTCTGCTGCACTCTGTCCTTCCTTGTCACCGTAGGCCACTCTTCCGTGTTCTCCTTTCTGTGTGTTACAACATGCTCACACTCAGAGCTGTTCACACTGTACATTATAGGCTAGGACAAGCATGTAAGGGAGTGAGTCACCACTTTCCTGCAAGTTTCATTTTTCTTTATGTCGGAGTAACATTCTGTCTTATACATGTACCACATTTTCATTATCTGTTTATCAGTTGATGGGCTTCTAGGTGGGGTCCGTTTTGTTACTCTTGTAAATGGGGAAGTAATACACATGGATGTGCAGGAATCTATGTGTTATGATGTAATGTTCTCTTCTATATGCCCAGGAGTGGCATAGCTGGGTCACAAAAGGTCTAGTTTTTAAAAAAGCCTCCATACTAGACATAGCAGTTTATACTTCAACCAGCAATAACTAAGTGTCCCTATTTCTGTACAGAGTTCTGAAATTTGTTGTGAGATTTCTTGATAATTGCCATTCTGACAGCGTCTAACATGAGCCAGTATATTTTCATGCATATGTGACATAATAACAGGAAGGTCTGTATCAAGTTTTGGTATCAAAAATGTATTTTGACCATGTCATGTTCTGTGTGCTGGTATTTATCCATAGTTAGTTTCAGAGAAGTAAGCAGTTTTCTTTATTTTGTCATTTCAAAAGCAAGGAAGCCAGAAGATGACTCAAACAAAAAATTCTTTGCTGCTTGTCCAAGACAGTGGATTGGAATTGGAAATCAATGTTATTATTTTTCTGATGTCATGAGAAACTGGACATTCAGCCAGATCTTCTGCATGGCACAAGGAGCCCAGCTAGCTCGATTTGACAGCCAGGAGGAGCTGGTAAGAAAGGATCAGGAATTGTTTGTTGTTTTGTCTGATGAATATTTACTGCCTTGAGGTAGGGGAGTTAAATATGAAGCATGAGAAAGGATCTCACCCTAGGCATACAGGGAACATGGGGCATGTTAGTATGTGCTAAGTGTGATGAAAATAGCCCGGAGACCTTCCAAAGACATTTTCTCCTGTAGTTCTAATAGGCAACCTGCATGTGCAGACATACATTTGAAATGTGTTTGTCGTATTAAGTGTTTGTCTGAGCTGACAGGTGATCCATACCTAAGTCGACAGCTGTTAACAACTGCAAGTACAGGCTTAGCAAGGGACTTTCTCAGCCTCAGAAGGATTGGTGGTTGTCAGTGTACTATGCATCCACTAAGAACTCAAGGTTATTTAGGTTCCAAAGTCAGTGACCTTCAGTTCAAACCTGCTGCCATCCTGAGAGGAGACTATAGGGCAGAGAGATTCAAGGGTCATCTGAAGCTGAGAGACACATGCCTTCCCCTTCCGTGTTTTATGACAGGCTTTTCTGATGAGATACAAGGGGGATTTTGACTACTGGATCGGCTTGCTCAGGAAATCATCACAACATGCTTGGATGTGGACCGACAACACTGAGTATAAAAACGTGTATGTTCAGAACACTTTTCCTTGCACTGTGATCATGTATTGTGACATGTGAGGGTTGTGGCTATGGAGATGAAAGGCAGTGTCATGTGAAGTGAACTGTGCTGGCGAGATATCATTGCAGGAGTGAATGCAGTGGCAGACTCCGCAGAAACTTTGTTTGTTTTTGTTGTTATAGGACTTCCCCCCGAGGACAAGGAGAATGTGCCTACCTGGTTGGCAATGAGATCAGCAGTGGCAGGAACTATATTCAGAGGAGGTGGATTTGTAGCAAGCCCCAAAGTTTCACAGCTTGTGTTGTGCCAATGCAGTCATGAGAGGTCTGTAACATGTTATCTACACACGCAGCCTCATTTCTTTATCTTATAAAACTATCAAAATCAATTCATAATCTTTGGTGATATCAAACATTAAAACAATCATAGGGGACTATACTTAAGGATACTTGTGTGATTCTAAATTACATATGTGTTTTGGTATGCGGTTGTACTCATATCTTAAACCTGAATTATGGTCACATCAGTATTAGTGACCTCCACTTTTATGATCAGATAGTGAAATTTTTTCATTAGTTCTTCCTTTGACTGACTGGTACATTAACAAAATGAAGGGAGGTCAGGATTGAGCCAAGATGGCTGCAACACAGGGCTTCTGCAGAAGGCTAGAAGGGGAGGCAGAGGATTTGAGTCTCTTCAGCACCGTCTTCCCACAGATGTGGGCATACTGCATCCGGCCTCATCACGGGTTTGCAGTTGCCAAGAGGGAGCCTCAGACACCGATGCCACAGCTGCTGCAACCCAAGCCAGAACCAAAGTGAGGCCCTGTTGTTAGAAAGTCAGGCAAGAGTGTCAGAGAGAATGACTGGGTCTCCCATAAATGTGCCTTGACACATCTGTAGGCTTTGTTATCAGAACCTTTAAAGATATTTACACAGTGGTTCAAGATGGTGGCTCGTGGGGTGGCTTCTTGGTCCCAACTGGAGACAGCACTGCTGTGGAGCTGCCCTCAGGTCACAGGTACCATGGTCACACCTAATGAGCCAGTGGGCCGGCCTTCACTGAGGGCAGAGAGATATGCAGAGGCCTGGAACTCTAATGCCTGCAGATGCTCTGTCCAGCCGGAAGATCACCCTGTCTCTGAGCAACAACAGGACTCATCTCAGTGATAGCCTGCGATCACCCTGGCTCTAAGCAACATCAGGATGTCTGTGATGGAGAACGGTTCGTTTTCTGGATTGGTCCTCCTCAAAAAAACCTAGCATGGGTGGGGTGGTAAGAAGCAGCCCTGGACCTCTGGAAGGCTCTGTCCGCTGATGCACTACCCAGCCCCATGACCAGCCTGACTCTGAGGAACAGAGAGATATGAAAGATGGAGAATAGTGCACATTCTGGATTGGGCCCCTTCAATTTGGTCTTGTCAGGGACCATGAGAATTATAGCAGGTGACAACTAGTGTTCAGATGTCAACCCACCAGAGGAATGACTGTCTGATGGAGGTTAATCCTTTCCAGAAAAGGTCTGCAGGACCATCGACTCTGAAAGCTGTTGTTCACTTTTGTTAGAGCAGTTTGGTGTCTCTCTAATACTGCATTGTAATGTGTAATCTCATGTGGTGTGTACATGTAACCTTATGATTGCATCTCAACCGTATGGGCACAATTATCTGTGGATGGTCAGGTAGATTCCTTTTTATTTGTTTAGAAGATTGGATGTAGATAAATCAAGATGTCTCCATCAAAATCAGAAACATTTCAGTTTATGTTTAAGAAATGACCAAAGGGAAAATAGAATCTTAAGCTTGTGGTTAACCAGTAAGCAGTCCCTATTATAACTGTTCCTCAGAATATTATTAATGTTAAACTTTGAACTTTAGGAATCTTAATATAACCATATCATAAAAAGGGAAGGAAATCTGAAACATGTTGTCTTTTTATTTTTTATCATTATATAAGTCTTATAAGTTTTGTTTATTCTGAGAAGTTTAAATATTTTAAATGGCAGGGCGCGAGGTAAGCAATAATTTGTATCAATAATAGTATGTTTATATGTATAGTTTTGAATATATAAGATAATATATTTAAAGATGAATATATTTGAATAATATTTGTAATATTAGTCAATCTGTGTTTTTGAATTAGTAATAGCTTAAAATTTAGTTAAATTTATTTACTTTTATGTATTTGTCCTTTTGTAAGTAAAATTACTTATAATTTAAGCAAAATTTATCCTTAATATCTAGGCATTAAATTTTATTTTTAATTATTATTTATTTTTTAAAATATTTTAATTATTTACTAGGTACACAATCTTCTACCTGCATGCCAGCAGAGGGCATCAGAGCTCATTCAAGGTGGTTGTGAGCCACCATGTGGTTGCTGGGAATTGAACTCAGGACCTTTGGGAGAACAGTCAGTGCTCTTAGCCGCTGAGCCATGTCTCCAGCCCCTACTTTTAATTATTTTTAATCGTTTATAATTTAAGTAAAGTTATCTCTAACAGTTTATAAGTTAGTAGTTAGGTGATTAATCAATAGGCTTGTGCATTTTTAAATTATTTTAAAAGTTTATAATTAAAGCAAACTTTTTTTTTACTGTTTATAATTTAAGGTTGCTGCCTTTATAGAGTTAGAATTTTTTCTTGTTAAATTTAGCATTAAAGATAAAAGTTTCGATTGAATTTGTAACATGGAAATGAAAGCTCTTCCCCATAAATACAACATACAAGGAGATTGGCAATTTTATAAATCCTTATATGTTGGAGACTGCTAGAACCTTGAACAAAATGGAGTCTGTCAACCGTTTCTTGGCCTTCTGCCTACGTGACTGTGAGCACACATGCCCTTGAGACAAAGGAAAAGGCTAACCATAAAAGTTAAATTAACACAGGGCAGCCCACCCACCTAGCCAGGGGGAAGTACCCTTACAGAGTAATTGTCTTTGTTAACAAAAGATTCAAGTGTTCTGTTGAATACTTCCTGCCCCTCCCTAATTCTTGCACCTGACTTACGCTGACAAGCATTTGTGGAATGTAACTAATGACTGATGGAAAATTACAGCTTTGTCTTTACCGTATTTGGTGTATATTTGAATTGAGACTTGATTGACATGCTTGTACCACCCCCTGAGGTCCTTCTTCTATAAGTTCCAGCGCGCCCCAAAAAATAAAGGCTCTTCATCAGCAAATGTTGTCTTGAGCCTGATTCCATTAACCTCTTGAAGTTCACTTTCCAGATCGGATCTGCTCGTGAAGGCCCACCAAATTAGTAGCGACCCTCATCACCTCACCCCCGAGGGTCGGGGGGTCCCTTATAGTGCATCGTGAGATAAATTAGGCATAGTAGTAGACCAAAATAGCTGTTTTATAGGTAAATAAGGGGGGGGGTATCTTTTGAGCTGGTAGAAAACAGAAAGGACCTGCATACTCAGACTTTTAAAACTGGTCAAAACCCCCCAGATATTTTGTGGTTATATTTTTATGTATGCCTGCAAAGTAGACAGGCACTCAATGAAAAGACAAATAGACAGCTGAAGAAATAGGTCCCTACTATTAGGATAAGAGACTTTAAGAGTTAGATGAGGTCTGTAGGTAGCAGGCTGGAGAGACAAACAGCAGCATTGTGCCTGTTTGAGTTTGGCTGACCTCTTGGAACAGGAGAGCTATGTGGGAGGAATGAAGAGGCAGGCCCAAGTGAAAGCAGAGAGTGCAGATAGTTAGATGCAGAGGGAAAGCATAGGTTTATTTTTAAGGTCTTTGAGCTCAGGGCACATCTCCAAACAAACTGAAAGACCATTAATCAGAACTTTATGATGCTGCCGTGATTTTCTAAACAAGCAAAAAACTCAGTCAGTGTGTGTACATTTACCCAGAAAGAGGAGAGAGAAATAGGCTTTTAGAGTTAGAGAATCATCTTATCTAACTATGCTTCATCAAATCCAGATTAATCAAAGTAATACAATTAATAAAAAACTAATTGTAGGAGTGAACCCCACAAAGTTATCGGCCCATGAGGATAGCTCTCACCTCGGAGGCCTGAGCTAGCTGGCCACCAGCCACAGAGGCATGGGCTTCCAATCCCACCGCTGCTACCAGATATGGATGATAGTTAATGCAATAGGGAATACAATATATTTATTTACAAGAGAGAGAGAATCACACAAGCTGGGAGTCAGACGCATGGCCGGCTTCCAAAAGAGGAGGTCCTTTTTCCTTTCGCTTCCTTTTATCTCTACCTGTGCTAATTTACTTGTCCCCGCCCTCATGGGTGGATAGCTTTATGGGGTTCACTCCTACAACTAATAGATAAAATTAACACTCTAATCTCAACCATTCCTTTTAGATAATGAAAAATCATAATATTTAGACACGTTTAGCCACATCATGTCATATTACCATAGATTTTTGTTACTCTTCTGTCTTACTATAGATTAGAGATTTTCTAAAATCATATACAACTCACCTACAAGATGGTTAACCTAGTTCTCAGCTTGTTATCAATATAGATTATTGATTATTATTAATTTCAAAATCATTATTATTCTTCCAGTCATCTTCAGACTTTCAATTAGCCACATTGCTCACTACCCTAGAGAGATTTACATGCTTTTGAACCAAAACCAGGGAAGATGTCAGAGACCATGAGAGTTATAGCAGGTGACAACTACTGTTCAGATGTCAACCTACCAAGGACTGCAGGAACATCAAATCTGGAAACTGTTGCTCACTTGAATGCCTGCATTGTAGTGTAAATCTCATGTGATGTGTATGTGTAATCTCATGATTGCACCTGAATCTTATGGGCACATATATCTGTGGGTGGTCAGGTAGATGAGTTTTTGTTTATCTATATACTTTTGATATATAGAAAACATCCTGGGACATGCTTCATAACTGGATCCATTTGTCTCACAGGGTCTGTGGACACTGAAAAGTCTACCTTGTTCTTTTTCTTATTGGGTCACTTCCCCCCACTCCATGGGACCTCTACATATTTGTAGAAACAGTCAACATTCTTTCACAAAATTCAATAGCCAACATGAATGGAGATATAGACAGGATTAAAACCAATACTATACACTCTGCAATTTAATTCATGAGGAATGTTTGTAAAAATTGTTCTGGATTTACCTCTCAGTTTTAAGTTTTTAATGACTGGGCTAAGAACATGCTATAAGCAATGCCATTTTTCTTTCTTGATTTACCTCTTTTAAAAGAATTTCATAAGTAATTTAACTTTAATTCTATTCCATTTAATTTTATTCTTTTATCATATTTATTGAAGATCAGGAGAAAGCTAATTACTGAAACTTCTTAAGCATTTGATGCCTAACCTTGAAATACTTTTCATATTATTTATCGTAAAAACAAATTAATTTTGTTTTTGTTTTACCTTTCACTACACTGGACTGACAAGTCCCCAAAATAACAAAACACTAGGTCACATGCATCTCTTTTCTTGACTGTGTCATCTTACTACATTGATATATAGATTAAACCTCACACAGACCTGGACCCACCCTGTTTCCTTTTGTAAATTTTGTTTTGTAGCAAGGTCTCTATGTAATCTCCAGATAGCTAGAATTAGAGTTGTGCATCACTCTATGGGACAAGTCTATTCTTTATTAAAACATATGTTCAGAACCAGTCACATGGCTCAGGAGGTAAAGGTACCTGCCACTAAGCTTGATAACTTGAGTTTGACTCTTGGATTCACATGGTAGAAGAAAACCAATCCAATAAAGTTGTGTTGTGATCCTCAAATTTTGCTGTATTCATAAGGCAAAATAAATAAATAAATAATAAAATGAAATAAAAATGTAAAGTTCTAATAGACTGTGTCTGTCTTGAGTCTAGGTTTTTAATTTTAGATAAATGTAAGCTTAATCTCATTCAGGAAAATAACATTTCTCAATGTTCTATTCTTACTTCATTTAGCCCCCCCTTTTTTCAATCATTTTATTTCAGAAACAATGTAACAACATTTCTTTTTTTGACATGCTTTCTAAAATAAATAAATACTTCCTCATATTCAAATTATTTTGCATTTGCCAGTTTTAAATATTTACTGTACATGTTAATACCAACGATTGGACTGACCCAAATCTTCATGACCAAAGTAATTAAAAGACACATTTTTTATTCATGTACATGGGCTGTCTGCTGTAAGGTGGGGTTTGAGAGGCCAGCTTTTGAGGTGAGGAGACAAGATTTTTTTTTTATAAAGCTCAGGGATAGGGAGTTTCCAAATGGGGGACTTGACAGGCAAAAGAGATGGGGTTTCAGGAGCAGAACATAAGCTTATGGATCAGTTCTGCACACGCTCCTGAAACAAACGCATGTGTACCACAATAAATAAATGACCCAGAAACAGATACTGGGGTTCAAGCTGAAGATCAGGGAAGCAAAGCAGCTGGCCACTTCTTACCTCCACTTGAGGCTGAATGGACTGATGCTGTCTCCCAAGCCTCAGACTGTAACCTCTTAGTGTGGCTGGAGACTGAATGCCTCCTACTGAATTCTGAAGACACTGCTTCTATCTTTTATACTCCTTTAGTGCTGGGATTAAAGGCATGTGATGTATTAACTCATTTTAACTGGGTGGCCTTGAACTAAGAGAGATCTGTCTACATCTTAATTCTGAGTCCTACGACTAAAGGTGTGTACCACTACCTCCTAGCTTCTGGATGCTGGGGTTAAAGGTGTGTGTCTGACTTTTATGGCTTGTGGCTGACTTTGCTTTCTGAATCTTCAGGCAAGCTTTAATAAATCATAAATAATATCATCTCAGACATGACATGGTTGCAAAGCAGGCGAAGAGAATCAGATCACAGAGATGCACAGATATGCTTTAGAACTCAGAAAAGCCAGGGAGTTGCACAGACTGGCTGCAGCTGCACAGGTGACCACGAAAAGTGGAGTTCAGGGAAGGAAAATCACATCATCTCAGTAAAGAAATACTTTCTCCTGCCACCTCTTTAGCATGGCTTCAGGTGATCAGCCTTCCTGAATGGTGGTCTCTTGGCCAAGTGAGTGACAGGCCCAGCAGGACCCTTATGACAGGACACAGTGGTGTGTTGTGTCTGCTCAGGACAAGAAACAGATTCCATTCTTTCCAGGAGGAAATAGGACTCAACAGAGCACTGATATTTTCAATGGCCTCAAAGGATACTGTAACATTCCTTGATGAACAGGCCCAAAAGACATTTAAGTTATGAGCTAAAACTAAGGTATCAATATAGTGGATTTCTGTTAGGAAGATCTAGGGATCCAATGCTAAAGCTGTTCAGCAGGCATGCTTAGTGTCTGTTACATCCTTATGCACACCATCAGTCAGGTAACTCATCTAGGATATAAGGAACCAGATCCCCATCTGTCATTTCTGAACTCTGGCCAGGACAGGACCAAAGAAGTTTCCTGCTTCTACTCAAAGAGAATCAGAGTTGTCCTTTGGGACCTCTGCTTTTAAGTCTGTTCAGCCCACGTGATGGCTACTTAGGTTGTCAACTGCATCTAG